TAAGGCATGAGAACCATGAAGGCAAATAGCCTTTGCAAAAGTCCCCAATTCTTTGGCTACAGCTATAAAATTCGTGCTACAAACTGGGCACAAAAAAGTCCTTTAAAAATGTTGCAGTTTGTGATGGGCCAAGTTTTATTCCAAAACTCATTTGGATAAACACTAAATTGGAGTGATTATTACCAAAGGGGAAAAAAAGAAGAGAGAGAGAGAGACTACCACATTGGCCTTTCCAAGTCCTATTTGAGTTTCCTGTAGTGTGTGGTTTAGGAGAAGAATCAAGAAATCCAAACACTCAGCTAATAATCCTGGTGGATGTTGAAAAGGCCACGCACTTGTCACAACTGATAACTTACTCCCCTGACAATAACTAGACTGAGGACACCCCAGTGTTCTTTTTCATAGCTGAAAGGCAAAAACTATTGGCAGTTCCTAATTTGTTGATAGGTAATAGTCTTGGCCTGAATTTGGTTTCCTGGGTGTAGGTGATCATGTGGTACAAAGGAAGAGACATTCCCTTTTATATTTTCCAGTGTCACGACAAAGACTGAGCACTATTTGAAATAGAAAAGACAGACTAATTTTTTGCTTCCCTTTCTTTGCCCCATTTTCCTAACTCCTGATGCTCCTTTTCTCTTATTCCAGTCCCTCGGGTTGCCTAAAACTCCTTCAGTGAAATCCTACTTAGTCCTTTCTTATGTCCCTAAATCCCCTTGTAATGCAAAATGAACTCCTTCCCCCCATCAAAAAAAAATTCCCAACAGGATATTAATTTTACAATAATCAGGGTTAAATAATTTATCCTAATAATCCCATAACCATGAAAGTTACTTGCATTTTTTGAAGAGAATGACTAGTGCCAAAATTAATGCCTAATGAGTAGAATATAGAACAGTATTATAAGGTATCAAGTGAATATAGGCTTTTTTTTTAAAGGGGGAACAAAAAAAGAATAATTAGGCTTTAGATAGATTGGACCTTAGGGTCTGCTCCTCAAAACTGACCTGATTTGTCTGTGATTCATTCCTTCTTCAAATTCTGCTACCATCGCTTCTCTACCAATTCTACATATTTTTTTTAAATTTTTGTTATTTAAGTATAGTTGATACACAATGTTATATTAGTTTCAGGAGCACAACACGATGATTCCACAATTCTATATACTACACAAAGTTCACCACAAGTGTAGTTACCATCTGTCACCACACAATGTTATTATGGGATTATTGACTATATTTCCTATGCTGTACTTTTCATCTCTGTGACTTAATTTATTTTATAACTGGAAGCTTGTGCCTCTTCATTCCCTTCACCTATTTTGCCCATCCCCCCAAACAGCCCCCTGCCTTGTGGCAACCACCACTTTGTTCTCTGTATTTATGATTCTGTTTCTGCTTTTTGTTTGTTTGTTTGTTCCTTTGTTTTGTTTGCTTGTTTTTACCCAGGAGGATTCCCATAAACACAGGGTCTCTGGCAATAGAGACAAAGACGTTGATGTGAGGAGGGCACCATTTGGGCTTAGGGAATTATTAGCTAGAGGTGAGCACATTTTTCATCTGAATATTGATCAACAACAACCACCACCTACATTGCTAATATCACATAAAAGTCTGACCCGGAGATAGGAACATGGCATTTAATATTATTGTCCACTTACAAAAACAAAGCTAAATATGGGTAGAACTTGAAATCTGTCAGGGTATAGGCAAAAAGAAAGAAAAAAGGTAATTTCCCAAGCCTTTAGAAATATGTGACTGAACTGAAAGGCCTAAAAAAGCCTCCCACTCCCATGGAACTTGAAAGGGTTCACAGGAGTCCACACACTGCCGGGTAGACAACTGCCAGGAGCTGTCACCACAACCCCAGTACAAAGGAGAAATCTGTGTTTCAGGAGGTTAAATGTTGCACCCATAGGGAAACAGTGCTGAAAATAGAATCCAGGTTTCTGACTCCCACAGCATCCTTCACTGCAGCCTCTCTTGGGCGACCTCCAGAATATCTCAGCGTTTGGTTTACCGGTTGCTGGTACCAGAAAGCACAGATGTGCACAAAAGCACATTTTAAATTGTGAGCATTTGGATTTGCTTTTGTTTATTTGACTCTCCAACATGGGTTCTTAGATCAGTAGTTCTCATTTAGAATCTGGTAATAAAAAGAGCTTCATCTTCTCTGGGTGAGCCAATGTTGAAATTTGGCTGATTCTTGCTACCAATAATGCAGCTGGGATGAACTCAGAATCTCAAATCCACGCTGCCACTCACTAACTATGCAATGACTTTGTGCAAATAACTCAACTTTTCTCAAATAAAATTTCCTATCCTATAGAATGGGAATAATTAACATTAATCTGATAAAATGGTTTATGATTTGACAGTAATGTCCTCTCTCACATGGATTATTGCCAACAGCCTTATATCTGGTCTCCTGACTCCTACCCTTGCCTACCTTTCATCTATTATCAACAGAGCAGCTAGCTAGAGTAGTCCTGTTAAAACATAAGTCCTGTCGGTCTTCTGCTTAACACCTGCCCCCATACCTTCTCACCCCCTTCAGAGTAGAAGCCAAAATTCTTCATTGGCTTACATTATCTGCCACCTCCTCATTGCTTCTCTGGCCTGACCTGTCACCACTCTTACCTAGAGCATTTTGCTCCAGCAACTCTGGATGCCTATTATTTTTTAAGATTTTATCTATTTATTTGAGAGAGAGTAAAAGTGAGAGAGATCACAGAGGGAGAGGGATAGGGAGAAGCAGACTCGCTGCTGAGCAGAGAGCCCAACATGGGCTCAATTGCAGGACCCTGAGATCATGACCTGAGCCAAAGGCAGACGCTTAACCGATTGAGCCACCCAGGTGCCCCTGGACCCCTCACTATTCCTCAGACATGCCAGAAACACCCTGCCTCAGGGCCTTTGCACTTGCTGTTTCCTCCACTTGGAAATTCTTGCTTGAATGTTTATATGAATCACCCCGTCACCTCCCTTTAACTCTTTATTCAAAAGTTATGTTCTCAGAGGGGTTTACCCTGGCTCTGCTCTCTAAAATTACAACCCACTCTCCTCCTAATGCTTCCTCTTTGCTGGTCTACTTTTCTTCTTAGCATCAACTAACATCTCCTACATTTACTTCTTCGTATGCTTTACTGTCTATCTCTCCCACTAGAATATAAGCTCAATGTCAGCATTTTGCTCACTCATTAAATATGTGGTTTGTGGGGGGAAAAACCCTCAACTTCCCTGATCTGGAGTTTATTCATCTACCCCCAGGACAGTTCTGCAGCAATACCTGGCACAGAGTAGGAACTTAATAAATGGTTGTTGAACTGATGACTGAATCTAAAAGAGCTCTCAACATTATGACCATTGAAGCATGAAAAAGGAGAAGAAGGAAGGGAAAAGAGAAAGGGAGATGTGAGGAAAGGAGAGAAAAGAATCATTCAGAGACACTCAGGTGACAGTGATATGGATAAAAAGAACCAAGCAACAAAAGACAATGGAAAAGGGAGCCAGTACATCATCCTCAAAAAGCCCAGGAAAGAAACAAAAAATGAAGCACAGGAAGGAAGGGCTGTTTGTCACTGTGAACACTCAGTATTTGCAAGATTTAGCTATGGTTTTATCATGAGCTGGTAGAGCACGTTCCTCAGAATCTTGGGAATCATCTTTTCTCCTGTGAATAAGCAGTTCAGCTGTTCCCTCAAGGGGTCATGGACTTGAGAGGCCTAAAGAACATAGGATCAAATTAACCACCAGACCCATCTATTCTTCATCACCATCTATTTTCTTGAGAACCTGATTTGAACATGTATGTAATGCCAAGTACTAAGATAACCACTCTAGGGCATGGTCATCATCTGGAATGTCACACTCCTCAATGCGCACACACACGCAAAGAAGCACATCTTCTGACTACACAATTAATAGATTCCCAGTATTCCTGCAATGCAAGGACCACAAAATTCTATACTTTTCTTATTCAGTGCCCAATCAGTGGAATCCTCTGAAGCAAGCAAGAATTTCCAGCATCCATACATGGGATGCTCTCCAGGGTCTCAGGAGGGACCACTTCCCTTGCGGTTCACCCTTTATTATGATTTTCACTCCTTTTCTTTTCTGGCACCCCAGGCTTGCAGGAGTTATTTTGGTTGTCAGATAAGTTTTACTCTGAGACGCCTTTAAAGGTCTGTTTTGAGGAAAACAGCATTCACTTCGCAACCTTCTTGGGAATTTTATTTAGCGAGAGCTAAAGGATTTAAAGCATGATGGAAACTTTAGCTCATGAATCAGAATAGCCCTCCAGAGCTAAAAGCTAGCTGTATTTGCATAACAATTTAGCAGCTCCAAACAGCAAGGCAAGGTCAGGTGAAATAAATTGCCAAGGTCATGGTTCTCTTGAAGTGGTATTGAAATTCAGAACCTGCAGTTCCCCAGTCTTCCTTACCCCAAGGATGTGTCTCCTAATCTCCTTCTAAAGGATACCGTGGCATAAAATAAATCTATTGCATGCGTGGAAACCACAGGCCCGCCCTTAACCCTCTGTTGTGCTTCTAATTTCAGATTCAGATCCTGGAGGAAGAGACCAAATCCTAAGCCACTGACTTCACTGCATTACTATACAAATGGAAGAACTTACTAGAAACAGTGATCTGGAGGACTCTTGGTCTAAACTAGACACTGCTGTTGATCGTGCCTGAAACTCCAAAAGTATTTTGAAGCTCTTTAATTTCTTGATCAAATAATTGCTTCAAATTCACTTTTTACTTCTGAGAATCTAAAAACATAGGGAATCCTTAAAAACCGCAGAGGCCCCCGTGCCCGAGAGAAGGAAGCTGAGGAGATTACATGTGTAAATTATTCTGGCTTTGGTGCCCTTAGCGAGAAAAACCTTTAAAGCGACACGCCGAAGAGAAGCTCGTTAAAGTCACAGCTTCTCAAAACCTATCCCAGTGAACCGCTGGAATTCAGAATCCTCAGGCACAACTCCGAATTCGGAATTCTCCGCGGCTCAGAGTCCTGCGTCGCACGGAATTTCGCAAACCAAGACCCGGCGCCTTTGCGGGGAGCGGACTTTCCAGGGGCGCGGGAAGCGCCACCCGGGAATCTCACCATCAGTGGGCGTTTAGCGCAGCCAAGCGACAGGCTGGCACCAGGGCTCAGCAACAGGGAGGCGCCGGCTGAGGCGGGGAGAACTTTGCTCTCCGAGCAGAACCACCCTTTGCTGGCCAGTCGCGTCGCTCCGCCGAGGAAGCAGGCGGCGGCGGCGGCGACAGGGCGGAAAGAGGAGCGAAGCAAGGAAGAGAGGAAGTAGCGAGACAGGAAGAAAGATGAAGCCAGTGCCGGGGGGCCCCGCCAGAGGGTGGCCGACGGTGGAGCAGGGAGGATTTGGCTTCTTTTTCGCACTCGGGGCGTGAACGCCTTCTCCTGCGCGACCCCAAGGAAATAAGGGGGTCTCGCCTGGGCAGAAAAGGAAAAGAAAAGAATCCAAGTGAGCGCGTTGCCCCCCTAGGAACTCCGGCTGCTTCCCAGCCCAGCCTCCCCGCGGGGCCGGACGCAGTGCCCGAGCCGCCCTGCAGATGGGGCGGGCAGGGAACGGGCGCCCAAGCCGCGGGTGACCGGCTACGGCCCGCCCGCCTGCCGGGCTCCGCGCAGGGACCGGGCGGGCAGAGGATGCGAGGCGGAGGGACCTGGGCGCACTAGGCTCCAACCTGGATGGCCCGGAGACCGCTTCGGCTCCTGGGGGCGCTTAGCCGTTCAGAGTGAGCTGCCCGCGGGACCTGGGGGCGGAGACCTTAGGCAGCGGCTGCAAGGGGGGTGAGTCGGCCGCAGGAGGGGGCGCGCTTTCTCCCTGGGGATCTCAGTAATGAGGAGACTGAGTTTGTGGTGGCTGCTGAGCAGGGTCTGTCTGCTGCTGCCGCCGCCCTGCGCTCTGGTGCTGGCCGGGGTGCCCGGCTCCTCCTCGCACCCGCAGCCCTGCCAGATCCTCAAGCGCATCGGGCACGCGGTGAGGGTGGGCGCGGTGCACTTGCAACCCTGGACCACGGCCCCCCGCGCCCCCAGCCGCGCTCCGGACCGCAGCCGGGCAGGCGCCCAGCGGGATGAGCCCGAGCCAAGGACTTGGCGACCCCCGGCGCCCTCGCCCGGCGCACGTCGGTTGGGGAGCGCCCTGCATGGCCGGGGCCCGCCGCGCGCCCGGAAGCCCGGGGAGGGCGCGGGGGCCGAGACCCTGTGGCCTCGGGACGCCCTCCTCTTCGCCGTGGACAACCTGAACCGCGTGGAAGGTCTGCTGCCCTACAACCTATCTTTGGAAGTAGTAATGGCCATCGAGGCGGGCCTGGGCGATCTGCCGCTCTTGCCCTTCTCCTCCCCAAGCTCGCCGTGGAGCAGTGACCCTTTCTCCTTTCTGCAGAGCGTGTGCCACACCGTGGTGGTGCAAGGGGTGTCGGCGCTGCTCGCCTTCCCCCAGAGCCAGGGCGAGATGATGGAGCTCGACTTGGTTAGCTCTGTCCTGCACATTCCAGTGATCAGCATCGTGCGCCACGAGTTTCCGCGGGAGAGTCAGGTGAGAGGAGTGGGGCGCCACTTGGGGGCCGGGACCTTATGGAGGGGAGAAAGGGGAAGGGTGAAGTCCGGAGGGACTTGGGGCTTTACAACTTTGATATTGTTTAAGGATCGGACCATATCCATAGATGGTTGGTTGAAGAAGTTCAGTAAAAGTAAAATAAGACAGTGTAAGTGCGGATGGAAATAAAATAAGAGGTAGGGGTAGCAGATGGAAGAAAGGAAGTGGGGGAAATAAGCGTAAAAAATACTCCTGTTTTGACCAGCTGGGGAAACCTAGTGAATGCCAGAGGGAAGTAGAAGTCAAAGTTCAGGAGCGTGGAGAGCAATGGATTTTCTAAAGACGATTGCGGGTGAGGGCGATGGTGGCGATGGAAGATCCCTGAGAATGCTAGTCTTTCACTCCCAAGAGGAACTAAGCATGTGGCGCCAAGAGCTGCATCTGCTCTGACTTCTTTAGAAGGTGTGCCTGAGGCTTGGGCGGTGGTGTACGGAAGGAAACAGCCCTCTGAATTCCTATGAGTAAATAGGAAATCTGCAACGAGTACGGAAGCAATAGGTAAAGAAGGGCGGTTAATTACGCTTGGGCATTGAAATGCATTAGAATTATTATCTGGTAGCGTAAAAATCGATGGGAGGACTCATCTGGGATTGGTTTTTTGGTCCCTACCTTTCTGTGTCATGTGGGCTCAGAGACTGGCTGTATGCAGTTGCTGTGTTCAGCTCATTTCTGTCTCAGTGATCTAGGACTAAAGAAAGAAGAATCTAATGCTTTCGTTTCTTATAGGTTAAAAAATTGAACATATTTTTAATAAAAGGAGCTATTTGTGAATTTACTGTTGACAATAATATAAATATTTAAAGAGAGGGCGGGAAAGGCAGCAAACTCCTATTTCAGCAATAGGAGTTTGCTGCCTTTTGTGCATTATTTTTATCAAAATATCAAGCTTCATTAAGCCTTGCACAAAGTATTTATGAAACAAATAGGTAATCGGTGTTGGCCCCATGTTAAAGATTGAGGAACTAAGGAAAGTTTTGGTCAGTGTACTAATAAAAGAGTCCAGACACTGCAGAATTTCTAACTCTACATATCATTTCACTATCCCTTTAGCTGGAAAAAAAAATTTCTAATCTCTTTTCTTCCACTTTTGATATATATACAGAGATAAAAGCTAAAATGAGTAAGGCCAAATACAAGTGAAAAGTTTGATAGAATCTATGCATAAAATATCAAGAGAGTACTAAAGATTTCTTTTTCTAGAAAAATGAATCTTACATTTTTAATCTTAGGAAGACTGGGCACCCGCTACTTTCAGCAGTTGCCCAGAAGATTGCTATTTAATGCTGAACTATAGAGATTTGATCTGCAGAGTGCAGGCTAATTAACTTTTATCTAAGACATTTCCGTCACCTGAATCTGAATGACTGTAGGCAGCAGATGGGAAGGCAGGGAAAACACAGGTGCACAATGCTGCCAATGGCCAAAGTGTTATAAACATGAAATTGCATCCATAGGGTGCATCATTATTAATATATATGCAGAATCAGATTGAACGAAATGCAAGAGTCAGCATCACGTGCTTCTCATCATTGCTTCTTTATTACCTAATACTTCATAAGTTGCCAATAGTGTTCACAGTCTCCAGACTCCTTTCCATTTGTAGATTGTTTGACAGATCTTAAATAGCAAGAATTTCCCCCAAATTAGTGTTCCTTAGTTAGAAAGGAAATTGTGCTCCATGCTGGATTTGTGCATCATCCAGCACATTACAACAAGGGGACTAGGGAAACCATGAAGCAGCGTCTAGAATCAGACAACTTCACAGCTTTAGGACCACTGTGGGAACAGTCTTCCAGGGACAACCCTTACAAGCTGACAATAAAATGAACACTCCGCCAAGCACAGTTTCTTCTGTACTTCAATTCAGAAATGTATTTTAAATCACTGTTGTCACTGTTATTTTCATGGCACACATCTTGAAAGGGGGAGATTATTATATTAACTCAGATCTCGTTTGCCCAACTGACATGTTCTTTCATTTATCTTTGTATTTTAAATTCAAACATATCTAACTTGTCTTACTTTTAGTATATCATTTAAATGTCATTCTATAATGTTCTGTATTAAGAATGTCCAACTCAGTGCCAAGTCACCTAATATGTAATTTTAGGATATGACCATAATCTGCTTTCAGCAAAAATAATAACTGATCTTTCCCTTGCTTCTGCTAAAAAGTAGACCTTTCTCCCATACACTGATATGATTAAAAAAAAAAAAAAAGAACAACTTTCAAAATATAGAAGAATGTCAGAGTCATTTTATACATTAAATAAAATTGACTTAATTGAGCCACTGTTCTCCTTGGATTCTACTGCCCAGTGACCTAATACATTGATTGGGCCAGTGCCTGAATAAAGGATTCTAGAAGAAAGAGGACTTGTCCACACAACCAAGTAAAATAAAATTGTGTCTCTTATTCAGACAAATCAAAATTGCTTGGAGCAGTAGTGACAACAGTGTTTTCTCTCAGTTTCTTCTGGGCTGTTGATTTCCTGCATATGAAACCTTTAATTAATAAATAGTGGTTTTGATAGTATTCTGCCACAGCTCATGAAAGGAGAGAGAGAGCACTGAAATGATCAAAACCCTGAGGAAAGCATTATAGTTTTATTTCACTATTTATTGGAAACAAACACATAAGATGATCAGCTTGTAAGGAACCAACTTTCTTCAAGCAGGGAAATCCATTATCAGTAAGATAATAAACTACCCACTTTTAGAAACCATATGTATTATCACTACATAATAAAAGCTTCATACAACATTACTACATAGGATAGGATTAAAGCACGTTTCCATCTAAAAAATTCTGACTTTGCTACACACTCAAACCTCCACTTGAGGCTAACTCATTTTATTAAAATGATAATTTCTTAGTTCTAAATTGTATTCCCATGACCTTCAAGTAATAATTCTGCAAATGGATCCAGATACATTTAAGTTATAGTAAGTTCCTAAAATTGTTCTTTCTCTTCCATTCCAGACCACCTTTTCTTCTAGGGTTTTGGTATAGTTTCTCCAAGGTTAACTCCTTGAAATTTGCCTGCTCAGTGACAGATACAGATTTCCCCCACTATCTGAAAGTAAAGCATTCCTCTGAAACCTTCTGTAAGCCAAAGTGGCATAAAGTGAAGAGTATTCCCCGCTTTCGATCAGTGCCACTTCACTTTGAGGAAAGACCTACCTTAGCACCTGTTTTCCCCGATGGAAAAAATTCAGAAGGAGATTTTCACTTTTATGAAAGCAAAGTGGCATAATGCGGAGTTTCAGAAAGTTGGGGATGGCGGTAGTGCGCTTTAGCCAAGGTTTTGCTTCCCACCGTCAGTCGCGGTCCGCTGTCGGGAAGCAGGTGATTTCTCCTCCCCTGACATAACGTCAAAAGGTCAGAGTAGCTTCCCGCCCCGCCCCCATGCCTACGTCTTCTTCCTCCGTTCATCTTATCACATAGACATTGTCTCATCTCATCACAAGAGGAAGGTGAGTGCAATACAATAAGATACTTTGAGAGAGAGACCATAGTCACATAATTTTTGTTACAGTATATGGTTATGTTTTATTTTGTTATTGTTAATCTCTTACTGTGCCTAATTTATAAATTAAGCTTTATCGTAGGTAGGTATGTATAGGAAAAAAAACACAGTATTTATAGTATAGGTACTATTACTATGGTTTCAGGCATTCACGGGGGGTCTTGGAATGTATCCCCCACGGATAAGGGGGGGACTACTTTATATATCAGGTGTGTCATTAGGGGATGAGTAAAGGACATTTATTTTTAAAAGATCTGCTCTCAACTATATTGGTTTTCCTTGACTTGCTCCATGCAAAGCACTGCTTTCTGTCCTCCGGGGGAAAAACACTCTTCTGTAATTCATGATGAATGGCTGATAGTAGCAGCTAATTGTTGCTGACTTGAAGATAAATGATTTCAAATTAAATGTCAAGTGATACAAAACTTTTCTTAGAAGTGATCTTTTACAGACTCCTTTTGAGGTACAGAGACTTGGGATTAATTTGGAAGTTTTTATTTTTAATTTGGGGATTTTTGGTTTTTTTTTTTACAATACTTAAATTTTTTTCCAGATAAATAGATCAGAAAAGGTTAGCAGATACATTCACTGGGCAATTAATCTGTCTCACCCGCTTTTCTTGTGCCTGCCACAGTCTAGTCATAGAGGATATTTGGTCTTGACCTTCTTTGACTATTCTGTCTTGGAGTTAATTTATGATTGAATCAACTGAACTAAGTATCTGCATCATCTGAAGACCAGTTTCATTGTTTAATTCCTTAATGTTTTATCTTTTGGTGTTGCAGAATCCACCATGGATTTTGTGCCATTAGACTTTATTTCATGAATACCTCCAGTCAAATGCCAATCATGTTGGTTAAAATGGCACAATATAATGGAAGGTACATTAAATAACAGTGAAAAGATTCTCAGCCTTCCTCTGCCTCTCACTGCCCATGTAATCTTGGGCAAGTGCCTCTGTCTCTGAACATCTATGCTTATCAGTCAAAAGAAGGTACTTACCAATCTGACAGATTTGTATTTGTGAATCAGATAAGAAAACAGAGTACTTTGGGAAAACTTATGGTGTCAGCCAAACAACTGGTAGAGAAGTGTTGGTCTGATAAGAATCATCCAAGTCCTAATTTTCCACTAATTCTCATTAGTAGTTACCAATCAAATTGGCATGTGATTCACAGTGTAACATGTCTTCATCCTCCACCTTACTCTCTATCCCTCATTTTCTTTCTCTTTAGAAAAAAAAAAAAGTAGGTTTAGCTCTCTCACAGAAAAGGGAAAAAAAAAAAAAAAAGAACTAGACTTCTAAGTACATTGTGCACTTGCCCCAAAATAGAAGATGTGCCGCAGGTACTATTTCTATGCCGATGGCAAATTTTCACCTATGACCATCTAACACAGTTTCTAGAGACT